ATTTGTCTTTGCCCATGTGAGTATCAGGAGGGAATCTGATGTTAAAGAGGGTTTTTCCCTGGAGTTTTGAGGCAGACTGGGCAAAGCCTAGCTGTGCTTTTGCAATCCTGGGTGATCCACTGAAAAAAGCAAGGTGTGAGGCAGAAGGTTAAATAACCACCCTGTATGCTGTAACTTTTGGATGTTATCTCCTTCAGACCTAGCGTTGGCACGTGTGTGATTCTTGCCTGTGTGCAGCAGCACTTTGTAGCCTTTCTCACTGTTGCACGAAACTAAGATTTACTGCCAGAGTAAATTGCTGACTCTTGCTGTCCTGCTTTATACAACTTTTTCCCCTCTTTCAGCTTAGGTTTCATTTGACTTCCTCTAACTAGGCAAGCCTGTGTTGCCTTTGGCTATCAGAGCACTCTCACCCAGCTCTCTGGCTTTTAATCTTCATGGAAACCAGGATGCTCAGAGCCCTGATTTAGGGGTAGGGTTAAAATGTATAGCATCTTTATGCATAGTAAATTCTCTGCGAAACTTTAATGTGGGTTGAAAATGGAGATGGTTTAAGGAGCAGGAAGCTTGTGTAATTATTTGGCCCAGCATGTTGCACAGGCTGCTTACTTAAGTTGAGTGCTTCCACACACTACAGGCTTTGGCACTTCGGTGGGAGTTTCTTACCTCTCCTCAACTGCTGCTTCCACTGGCCCCAGAGCTGAGCAGGTGCAAGCATTGTGGAAGGGATGATTAACTGCAAAGTGGGTGTGGGAGCAGCAGCATGGGGCTGTTTAGTCATCAGGAGCAAGGAGTCATCCTTCAGCCAAGGTAGAGAGCACAAGCCTGTAAGTGCATGGACGGTGGAGGGCCAGACCTCAACCCCAGCCAGCTCTGCGGAGGGGCAGTGCTGATGTACAAGGGGCAGATGAAAAGGCTGAGGAGCCATTGCTGCTATATAAATAAGCTGCTGAGAGCTGCTGATTGAACAGTTACTACAAGGCAGTGCTCTTCAGCTGCCTCAAGACCCTTTGCTTAACATTTTCTTTGAGCTTCTCTCTGGTAGCAGCTAGGCAGAGGCCTCTCCTTGGAGCTGAGGAATGGTGATCCTTGTGATGCTTGCAGGGGGGGTGCTGTGGGATGGGTGCAGAAGGCTGTAATTGTCCTCCCTCTCCTGCTGCAGGTCAGAGCATCCCAGGTTCCACTTCTGGGCTGTCCTAGTTCCAGCAAACAGTGTCCATATGGATTTTTTTTTTTAATATTTTTTTCACTAATAGCCATGTTTTGTAAAGTTGAATGTCACTAGGTCAGGTGAGGGAGAAGTTGAAGCTTCAAATCGACCTTCTGTTGAGATGCACTGTACAGGTTTTATTCTGTGGATCTTACTACTTTCTAGCATGCTTCTCCTACCCCTATTTAATGGTGAAAATTTTTGATGTGCAACCTTTGAATGGTGGTTTTGGGTCTCAGGAAGCCAGTTTGCCACCCTATTAGAAAGCAACCTGTCCAGAGGATTCTGCTTGGAGCATTTGGCCTTCTCATGGTGCATGTGTCTGTCCCCTCCTGACACATAATGAGCCGTGACCTTCTTGGAGTCTCTTTCTAGCTTGATGCTTCTAGCTTGTGCTGCTCAAACCAGAATATATTTACAACTGATCCTTTGTTAAAACATCAAATTAAGCATAGCCTATTGAGGGAAACCGGTTAGAGAGAAAATGCTGTGGGGGTCTTCTGCATAGTGATGTGTGCTCTCTGTGAGATGGTGATTGTGTGATTGATTTAAAAGAAGGGAAGCTGTTAGGACTCTTATTTCCCACCCCCTCTTCTCTCAGCTCCTTGAGTACTGACTTTTGAGATTAATCTATGGCACCTTGCTTAGAGTCTGAAAGCCCCTGGGTGAGTTCCCGGGGTGAGCACTGATGCTCCTGCTGCCAGTGAGGCTGCCCAGCTGGAGAGCCTGCCTGGGCCACCTTCTGCAGCCACCCTTGAGCGCAGCCTCACGGGAGAGGCTGTGTGTGCAGGTGGTGTGATAGTTGTCCTACAGTTTGTTGCAAGGAGTTTGAATGGCGATGCAAAACTGGAATTTTCCCTTTTCAGCTGTGTGCTGGCAAGACTGATGTGGCTGGGTTCTGTAGACTGAAATGTGCCCAATGCCACTGTGATCAGTCTCTGCCACAGTGAGGGTTTGTGGCAATACGTGTGCATCTGATGTTAGCACAGTGCATCCTAAATAGGAAAAGCGATATGAAACATCTACCAACTTTGCTGCTACTAAGAAAGAAAAGGGAAATAGTGAGCTAATAGATACAAAACTGAGCCATAGTGCTGAGACCTTTTGAAGGCCTGGGGTTTTTTTTCCTACCTTACTGAGAGCTGTTGAAGCTGTTCTCTGTTGTGTTAGAATCCCAAATGCAGTCTTAAAGTCAGAACGAGAATTTGAAACTCTGCTTTTTAACTTTCTCCATTTGGCTGATGATACTAGGTGTGAAGTTTCAGAGGACTTAAGGGGTGGTCTTATTTCTCAGAGGCTTTTTTTGTGTGTGTATGTGTGTTTATCTTTTAGAAGACCTTTGTGCTGACAGACATCCAAACATCAAGGATTTGTTAGCCTGGAAGGTTCTGATATTACACCATGTCTATTGTGGAGAACTTTCTGTATAAACTGTGATACAAATAATAATCACTTCAGAGCAGTTATCATCCCTTGGAAGTGAGTGGATGTTTTCATATCTGGGAAACTTGATCATTCTAAACTTGAGTTGTGTCTCACAGCTGTACTTTTAGGAATAAATGTAAGAGTGCCTCCATCTTCTAGTATAGTTCCTTATTTAAATGTGAGACTGGTTCACTGAAGTTTATATATAGAGGGCTTTGACAGGAAAAAGATTTCCCAAATGGATGTCCTCTTCAAATGGCTGTGCTGCCTGGTGATAATGCAGCTGCTTGTATAGCAGACTGATGCTTCTAGCCACATCAGTTGAAATGAAAGCACAACAAGTGGTAAGGATGGGGAGAAGCACGTTCTAGTAGTGAAGGATTATAAAATAAGCCTTTATTATACATGGGCCTTGTGGTGTGTTCCCTGAAACAGGTTAACGCAGCTGCATAAATGAGAAAAGCATCCTGGATATACAAGTGATCTTACCAATCTAGTACTGCTTTGAGAACCCCGTTCTTACTGAAAGTAACATATTAAGCTTGTATGTGGTTTCAAGAGGTTTTGCTTTTGCACAGCTTTTCTTTATTCTCCTTCCCTGAAGCCATTTCAGTTTACTGTGAGTTTTCTTTTTTAGGACTTATTATTTTTGGAAAGCGTTCTGGAACATTTTGTGCATATGGTCCTCTGTAAATGTGCTGTTGTACTGATTAAAGCTGAAAGTATGAAACCTAGCCTTTCTGATGCAGTGCGGCAGGGGAAAAAATGCTGAAACAATAGTTTCCAAAGGGAATACTTTTCCAAATAAAGGCATATTTAAAAAAAAAAGGAAAAAACTGTGTGTGAGATGTATTCTCCACTATCCCCCCAGTCTCTGCTTTTCCCATAGATTGCATAGATGTCAGTATGCTTAAAAAACCCCAAAACAATAAACCAAACATTAAAGCAGATCTAGCACATCTTTTTTTTATAATTGATTTCTCTTTCCTCACTGGTGATGTGACCCCATTGCTATAAGCATTTTTGTCATAGGGTAGAAATCTGCTGTGCATTGGAGTTGGGTGCATTAACCTAACTCTCCCCCCTGCCCCTCCACTGCTCTTCTTTTTCTTCCTGCTGGTGTCTGGAAGTTCACAGCCTGCCTGTAACTAGTTTCTCCTTGCTTATTTAGAAGGATAGTTGGATTTTGTTCTTTTATCTTCCTCTTCCCAAGTAAACCAGAAAGTTTTCCGTGAAATTCTGTGACTTTCAAGGGAATGTCTTAGAATTCGGGGAGCTAATAATATCTAGGAATTTCTCTTAGACTTACCAAGGCAAGGAAAATTGGATGGTCTTGGGGTATTTTTAGTCATAAATTTCAAATCTTCTGTGACTGTTAGACCTGGCGTGGCAACCACAGTACTTGGAAATGGGGAAGGATCTTCACAAGTCTGAAACTGTTTGTAACAATTTGTCTCTAAATTTCTCTCTTGTCTGTTTCTAAAAGTATGAGTGTCATATTTGCAAGAATGAAAACAGGGTCCTAGAGCAAGCTCTAGTGTGGTATCCCCTTTACTGTGTCATAGGATGGGAAAGCAAGTCAGTTGAACAGGAAACATTTTATGGCTTAAAGGTTATGATGTGAACCAACTTTACTACATGTTGATGTATCAGAGTACCTCGCTAACAGTTTGCCCTCTGCAGTTGGGTGTCTGATGCAATTGGGCCTGAAGTGGAGTACATTTTTTGGAGGCCTACTCTGATGTTGTCTTGGGAAGATGAAATTTACTGCTGCAGTGCACAGATTTGCTTAGAAGACCAGTGTGGCCGGTTGATTGGTTCTGAAATATTTAATATACCATCCAACAGGATGGGGCAGTTTAGACTGTAGGAGATGCAAATCTGTGAACTGTGACTGATAATGGCATAGCAGTGGACTTTTAAAGTGTGCAGTGAAAATATGCTTGATCTGGTATTCCTTGAGGGATCCAGGAGCCCCTCACTTTGGTTGACTTTGCAAACGCTGTGGCACAGTTGTGGAATGAGGAAGGAAACCCAACAGTTCAGGTTCCACTACAGGTTGCAATGAGATCTTGGTTTGCAGGAGGATGTGTGCTGATTGCAGTGTCCAGAATAAGCAGCTCAGTCTGCCCTAGTGATAGGTCTCTGTAGCAGCAAGGGATATGTGCAGTTCAGGCCCCTGCTTTATGCTGTACCTGTGCTATGCAGAAATCTTGTTTTATAATTCAAAGATGAATGTGTAAAATGAAGCTAGGAAACACACGTGTTCTAAATAATCTGGTTACACTGTGTGCCTGGTGGGGGGAGTGTTACATGGGTTGTTTGTTTTTTCTTATTTCCTCTCTCACTCTTCCACCTTTTCCAGTTATCATGGATAATTGAGAGCTGGCTGTGCTGAAAAGTCAGATGATTAAGCTTTATCTAAACTGCCTGCAGGTAAATTTGAATTCTTTTTTTTTTTCTTTGTGTCTAGTTTAACTGAAGAGTTTAATTAAACTGTGAAGTTATCCCAAAATGTGAAAAATTCTGTTTCTAAAATATTTCAGTTAAACTGCTTTAGCTACAGAAAGTAAGTAGAAGTAGGGATTTCATTCCTCTGCTGCCACTTGGACTTGATTTTTCTGTAATTTTTCTTACTAAGCAGCCAAGAGGATGACTTCTCTTTCAAAGATTGACTGCTCAATGAAAGCACACAAAATAAGGATACAACAAAACCGGCAACTAAGGATGGAGGTTAAATCCTCTGAACCACACTGCTCACATTTGTTTCCACCTGCAGCTGAGCTGTAGGGGAAGAGCAGTCCTTGTGCCTAGCCGTTCAAAAGGTGTGCTGTGCGTGCTGGTCACTCATCCTGCTGCCAAGATTTTGGCTGTGTGCATTCAAGAGATAGCAAACAATTTCTGAGTATTATTCTGTGAGGGGGAAACTATGTGGATAAAATAGAGATTTCTGATGTGCATGAGGATAACTAATTTTCTTTTGGCAAGTTTCATGTATGGTATTTACAAGCAAGCCAGTAGCGTTCCAAACATACCGAACACTTCCCTAAACAAACTGAAGGATCCAGATTGAAGACCTGTTTTTCAGTAACAGTGGCACAAAACATAGCTGTGTCAGTCATCTGGAGCAGCTGGAGAGCCTCAGACTGTACCATTCACTCCCCTGACATACTGTGTCCTTCGTATACCACAACTACCCAAATCTGGTTTTCTTTCATGTCCTGAGATATGATATTCCAAAGAACACTTTTCCATGGGGACCTAGGAATCCTGCTGTGACGAAATGGGGACAAATCAGAAAATTAGTCATAATCCTGGGAAAATATACACATGCTTATGAGGGGATCTTGGATCAAGGGATATGAGTTGGCAGCTTCTGAAGGTCTTGTAGATAAATGGCAGAGGTCCCCAAACAGCTTAGCTTAGAAGAAGCTCCTGCCATATGTGAGCGCGTCATCTTTGGAAACAGCTGACTGTGGTTTAAGAGTGAGCAAGAATTCTGGCCTGTGTGGTTTCAGTGGCAGCAGATGCCTGCTTCAGGGAGTTCATGTGGAAGCGAACTACTGCTCATTGTGTGAGCAGGGCTGGCCATGCAGCAGAGGAGGACTGATGCTGAAGCATCACTGGGAAGTTTGCTTGATGACAAGGCTTCAAGAAAAGAAAGGGCCAAGGATGGCTGTAACCCGGGAGCAATGAGTACTTTTTCCCTTGTTCATAGCATTCCCTGGGAGGGTGTGTGGCTATTGACTTTGTGGCCATAAAGGATGGTTTATTTTCTTACCTGTATTTAGTAGGTGTTTTTCAAAGTACACATTAAAAAGAAAGCAAAAAAAAAACCCTCTACTGACTGACATACTGTAGTTAACAGAAGAATCTCCTCTCCCCTCCTTACTGTATTTATGGGAGCTGCTGGCTACACAAAATATTATCTTTGAAAACATCTGTTTAAACTTAATCCTCCCAGAACCATTCAGCTTAGGCTGTAGCATATGAAATGGGTCTGAAGTGTCCTCGTTCCCTGTACTGCTGCTACTGATGGTTTCTGCCTCATTGTTTCTGGGATCTATTGAAGAAACCAGCCTATTCCTTAATGCTGTGTGTAAATAGGGAATCACTTTGATTCATGTAAACCCATGAATTGTTAAGCTATCTCCTTGATAGTCTGACAAATGTGTGTGCTCTACAATGCACTCCAGTTAACTTCTGGAGGTGGAGGCCTGAAGAGTTGTTATGAAAGCTGCTTCCCCCTGAGCTGTAGGTATCAGGAATGTGCTAAAACAACAGTCAACTTTGAGAGAATTGAATGTCTGTCTAAATAGCTTCCGAACCACCAGCTCCCCTCTGGGAAGAAAAGATAACTTTTTATCTAGCTAGAATCTCTTTCATCTTCTACTTCTGCCAGGGAAAAGTCAAGTCTGGGAACAAGTTTTGTAACTTGACTGAAGCCTGAGGCAGGATCCTCGCAGGCGGTACCTGTGCCCATTGTCTCCTTACAATTCCGAGGGGTTTATCGATGCTATCTTTTGCTAAATGGTTTTGCTGCCTTTGTGTCTCCTTCAAATCCCACGCTAAACTAAATCATCTTAGTGGGATGTTACTGTAGGCATAGCAGCAGCAATTTAGAGCATCCTTGTGGGGCAGCCCTGTGCCTCTGACAGCCAAGATCCCTGATAACCTGGAATTTAAGTGATCTGGTAGCTGAAAAGACACAGGGAAACCGTGCCTGACTTTAGAATAAATGAGAGAATCAGTGCTTGTGCTTTGGAGCAATCTATTAGTGAATCAAGAATAAGCAATAATTGATTCTCCCAGAAGATGTTCTTGGTTTAGATATCTCTAACTTGATTGTTGTTGAGAGACCAGAACTGGACTGCTGGCTTCAATGTGCAATCTTTGGGAAAGGAAGACACCTCTGGGGCAAGGCGGCTTAGCAAATTCTGTGATAAATACATGCCCTCTTCCCTACCTCTTCTGGCTGCTGCTATGTCACCTGGCAAGCACTGTTCCAAGGGCGGGGAGGCCACCTTTAAAAGAAACTTTGGCAAGACTTGCAGAGTTTGTTATAGTAATGAGGCTTCATTAAATTGGAATGGGGAGGACAGACCTGTCTTGATCTAATCAGAAGGGCCATTTGCTGAAGGTGGTGCATTGCTTTGCCAGAGCTGTAATTCAGTGTGGAGCAGTGACTTAAAAGCAGCCAGCTGTTGGCCCGGAGTATAGGCCAGATGCTGGCCTCTTCCACTTGAATATTGACTTAAAATCCACCTGGGAGATCTGACTTGAGAGGAGGGTGCAGATGTACAGACTAGCTGGCTTGGCTTTCTCCACAGAGGAGTATTTTTTTGTTCCATGGTCTTAATTGTTGCTGAAGGATTTCTAGCAGGTGAGTGATGGCATCCTTATTGCTTTTTGTATGGTTGAAATTTGGTGAATAAAGCATTGGCTCCTCATGTGTGGAAGACATGAGAAATCTATAGGATGTGCTACAGGCGTAGAATGGTATAGCTTCACTTTTCTCCCTCCTTTAAATGAAGCAGGAAACAAAAGGGGCAGACACAGAGTTTATTGTAGCATCAGCTCCAGACTTGCCACATGGCAGCTTAAATGTCATCTTGAAATGACATTTCAAGGCGGGGGTGTATGCAGACAAAGAATTCTTCTTTGGTAGAGACTAATTGACTTGAAAGATTCTAATTTTAAAGATAGCCCTTTTGTGAAATAAATATGAGCAAAGTAGTGACATGGAACTAAGGAAACCCTCTTTTTGCTAGGATGACTTCCAGGATTAATGACAAATCTACATGTTCCCTCCCATAATGCAGCTTCTTTTTTGCCTGAGTAATTGGAAATGTGAGTTGTGGCTGTTTGGGTCATGTGTTTCTCTGGTCAGTGCAGGCATGTTGACTACATCTCAGAAGTACTTAAGGATCTGAAAGTCATACTGCCTTCCCTAGCAGAAGGAACACTAACTGAAGTCTCCCATCTGTTCTCACAAGCTGCAGAAGAGTATGATACCTGCCTATGCACCTCTCAAATTTGTTTGGAGTTATCCAGCAGTTTTGAATTTGTATAGGAAACTTGTCAAAAAAAAAAATAAATTACCCCCTTCAGTATGAATATGCATTCAGCCACAGCTTCTTCAGTTAAATGGGGATTCCCTCAAAATGAAAAATATTCCTGTTATCAAGTGTAAAGAAACATTAATTCCTGAAAAAAATGTTTTTCCCTAAAAGCTTTAGATGTTTGTGTAAGGAATAGCATGACAGAAGTATTGAAATGTGTCTTGGTGTTGTTTTATATTTTATTTTTTTAGGAGGGGGTGTGGGTGTTGGTTGGTCTGTTAGTGGGTTTTTTAACTCACTCATCCACTTGTCTTTTATCCCAGTTTTCTTCTTCCTCCTTTGTAAATCCAGTACAAACAGATTTTCAGTCCTAACATTCTTTCATGAGCACTGGAGTTACACATGGCAGTTACTCATCCAGGTTCAGAGTTACCATTGGAGGTCTTACAGGCTAAAAACCATACTGGGTTGGTGGCATATGTATTCTGCTGGGTCTTTTTCCTTCATTAAAAATAAGGGTTCAGCTTTGTGCTTTGTTGGTTTCCCTGCTGCACTTTGCGTGTTTGTGTACAAGTCTGTTTTTGCTGTGACAGTGCCTGATAGGCTATGGCTGGATCCCTCAGTCCTCAGCTATGAGCAGTGTCACATCCTGCAGTTTTAATTGCTGTGTTCTGTACTGTCAGAACATTATACCTGAGGTTTGCAAGCTGTTTTACATTCCTCCTCATAAGTATGTGTTTGCCTGCCTGCTGGCTGATTGTCAGGTTTGCTTTTCCTCTCTGGGTGCCTGAAGAAGCATTTGATTTATTTACCCTAGCTGTCTAGTACAGTCTGTTGTGTCGTGGAGACCTTCTGAAAGGTGATGAGGGTGTAGGAAGGAAGGCTGGCTCTCCTGAAGTTATTTTGAAACAGATTTTCCAGATGCTATATCCTCTGGGGTTGTCTTGAAAGGAAGAGCTAAAATTAATTGTAAGCTAGGCAGTCTTCACACCTGAAATACTAGAGGGTTAAAAAGTTGTGGTCTGTCTATAATGCAGCTCCTTTTAGTATTGCCTGTGTGGAAGATTGCCTTTTCTGTTACTGTTACTTTTTGAACTGTGAATACTTGGTAAGATTCTTAAATGCTAGAAGCAAAAAGTTGGCTCTTGTTTGTTTCTGATTTCTCCTTTTCTTCCTCTCCCCAGATGATGTTGGGGGTGTTTGGCTCAACACTTAACTGTTTCTTTCCTTGTCTTTGTTTTTGTAGACTGAGGTGCTCCTGATCAACCAGATCCTTCAGGAATTTTTTAAAAAGAAACTTTGGTGGGTAAAAGATGTGCCATGGAATGGTAGCACCAAAGAGCAACACAGGATCATCTCTTGCCTTGACTAGCCATGGGTTATTTCTTCTGCTAGTTATCTTTGGTACCTTTATTTTGGAAGCACAGGCCGCAGGTAAGTGAAACCTTTGCATACACTTCAGGGAGAGGGAGATGTGTAAGTGTGGAGGTGGCCTTATATTTTTATGGGGAAGTTGGTGATGGTTGATGCATTTGCATACATCTTTCAGTACTCACAGGAAAAATTCTATAATTATTTGTCAAGCAGCAGGCAGCGTCTGAATTGAATTAATCTTGCATTAGTAAACAAATTCTTGTCCTTTACCCTGGCAATTTTGATTCCCCCACCCTTTTTCCCCTCCATTCTCATCCCTTCACTGCAGCTGGGGGTTCCTGGACTGTCTCAAGAACATGGACCACAGTCTTAGTTCAGTGCGATTCTCATGTAGACACTCTCATCTTATTCCCTGTAGCAACTGCTCATGTGAAGTAGTTTTGGAAGCACAGACTGTCTTCAGCTCTTGCACAGCTGATGAATCCCTTCAGTGTATCCTTCTGTGCTATCTTCTGACAGCTCAGCACCTGCTAACAGCACCCCTCTATTAGATCCTCTTTGCAGCTTGAGTTTTTCCCCCTCCCCTTTCTAATGTCTTGACGTTTATTTGATGGACAAGTGTTGTGAATAATGTAAATAGCAGTGCAGTGGGATGATATGTAAAATGTCAGCAGAGATGAGGGGATCTGCCTTTTAGAAATGAGTGAAAGAAGAAAATATACCAGATACTCACAAGGCACTAGTACACTGCGTGCAGTACACTTGTTTACCCAGTATACCTCGAAATATATTTTTTCTCTCAGACCAACCATGCTGTAGTTTTTGACTGTAGAGGAGATGCCTGATCCTAAGTGGCATGTAATGGAACTTGTGTGCTCTTGCACAAAACTTTGAAGGAGGTTAGTCCCAAAAAGGCACATAGATTTGATTTCGGCAGCTGTTGCAATGTACAACAATGACTTGCCTTTGAAAACAAAACCTTGGTTCTTGACACAACTCTAAAAAGTCCTCTTTATTTGACATATCATGGCACTTGAAAATGTCCCATGACCAACACTCCTCAGCATTAGTGAAGCTTGAATTGGCCTCTATGTGATAGAGCAGAATAAATGTTAGTTGCCAGATGCACTCAAAGCTGATGTGATTCTGTATGGAAAAGTCTGCCGGTGCTGGAAACTGCTGTAGGAGGAGCTGATCTCCTTTTAGTATTCCTGGCTCTTCGTGTTGGAAGGGAGAGGCTGCTGAAACCAGATATCCCAGACTTGTTTGTCTTCCTGGCCTGATTTTGGCTCTGTAGGTAGTGAGGGGTAGGGGGACACAAAAGTGAGAGACTGACAAACTGGCAAGTACAGATAGTGAGAGTGGAAAAAGGACAAAGTAATCTTGGATCTGGTCTATCCTTGTTTTTTTCCAGTCTTGCTGTTATTGGTGATGTCACTGCCTCATTTCAGATGTAAGCTTGTCAGATAAGCCTCCTAGCCTGGGGCTGGAGCACACCATCCCCATCTGAAACTCCCATTACACACTGCAGCACCTTCAATTGAGTCTATAATCAGTATGCAAATGCCTTGTGCTGCACGGGGCTGCTGGATGGGCAAATGCAGCCACAACGCTGGCAAACCTTTTAGTATCATTTTTTGAGGTATCCAGTCATATTAACAAAAGCACTAATTAAGCAAGTCAGAAGACCTGAGAGTGGTTCTGCACTGTTTTCCTTTCTGTGTTCCTTTTGCTTCAGGACCTGAAACCAGCTGTGGTAAACTGATCAAGGCAAATCATCAGCTAAATAGGATTATAGTGGCTAGGCATGAACCATTTCCTGCAGGGGGAAGTGAGAAAGTGAGTGTGTGTAGGGGGAAGCCCAAGATCATAGCAGAGGGCAAGACATGCAGGGGAAAAAGTCCTGGGAGAGGGGAAGGTCTCCCAGAGAACCACTTCTGCATACAGGTTTTCTGTGGCTGGGAGGTAGCAACCCAACTCCCAGTTGCTGGGAGGGATGGGGGTGCTCTGTGATGTGTCATGGGCCCAGAGAGCTGCACCTGCAGCAGCATGCCAGCCATGAGCAACGTTAATGAGCAAGTCAGCCGAGGAGCGGAGAGCCAGATGGAGAAACAAAGAATGCTGGCGAGGCGCTTGGAAAATCATCTTTCCTTTATCTTTGTCCCCCAACCACCCCACCATCCTCACTTTATTACTTTACATAGCAAAATCACTCAGAGCAGGTGGAGCAAAGTGATGTTAACATGAAGCAAGAGATTGTATTGAATCTCTTGGTGGTAATGCTTATCTTGAGTGTGGGGCCAATGTGACATGCTCACAATTGTTACAAAAGCTGAAGAATGTTCTCATAAAAAGACAGGCAAGCATGGAGACAATGGCTGGCTCAGCTCTGAGTGAGAAAGCGGAGCTTGCGATTCGTATGTTTAAAACCATATGAAATATATTGTATTGCAATAATTTTGCTGTTTAGAAATTCTATTGCTTGAGTTCCAGGAGGCTTAGAGATATATTAATGTTCTGGGCAGGAATGTGTTCTTTTTGCCACGTGGTTAATGCAGAATGCAGACTCATTTCCAGTCAGCAAGCATCTCGTCTGTCCTCTTGTAACAAATTGATTTTATTTATGCATGGATTTTTAAGAAAAATCTTTAGCACTTTGTCTCAAGCAATCTATCCAAATATCCTGGAGTGCCATGAGATGAGTATGTTAAGTTGCTTAGTCACTAAGCACACTGAAGAATTTGGGGAAAACTGCTCCCTTTTCACCAGAAAATGTCCATGAATATAAAAATAACCACTACACATACTTTAACACAAAACAAATGCAGCATTTGATGATGGGCAAGCAATGAAGCATGTCAGAATAGGAGGACTTTCGAAAACCTCAGTGCTGTTCAGAAATATTTTTTGAGTTTTATCACTGTTGTGCTTTTTTTTTTTTCTCTGTCTGGCAAGTTCTCCAACATTAGTAGGGGGAAATAATGAAGGAATGAGTGGGTGAGGAGACTTGGAAAGCAAGGACCTGGAATTCTGAGACTTAGTTCTTTGTCACCAGTTTTCTTTTAAGGTTCATCTGGAATGTAGATAAGAGCTGGAGTGCTTAGTATATAGAGATGAGGAACTTTTGAAGTGTTGGAGAGGAGCAATAACAACCATTTTGTCGGCTTTTCTACACTTGACGCTTCTTCATTCTTTCTTTCTTGCTGTGACTTCTGGCCTTGTGTTTATATCTCATTCACAATGGTCCTCCTGTCTAGCTAGGTTATTTTTGGAGGTATGATGGTGGATCAGAATAAGTTGTTCATTAAAGTTTAACATGTAGTCTCTAAAATACTCTGAAAGCTTCCTATTGTTTGTGTTCTAAATGGTGTCTTCTTTCTTGGATTCATAATCAGCTCTGTCAGAAACCTATCAAAACAGGTTAGGCATTTCATTATTGATAATAGCATCACTTGGTCCTGGAAATGTAAGCAAAGGTGTTGGTAAAAGTATTAAACATCCTGAATTATGTAAATATCAATACGCATAAAGGAGACAGTTTAAATATTAACCTTTAAAAATTAATAATAATGCAGACTCGGTGAATCTAAGTCCATTTAGATTTAGATGCAGCCTAATTTTTGATGACTGATCACATGTGAAATGATATAAAGCTAGTCTAATTTTTAGGATTGCCATTAAAGTGATAAATTGAGCTTGAATAAACTGAAACGACTTCATTCCTGTGTGTTTTCTCTGACGCAAATGCAGCCAATCTGCTGCTTGCTGGTCTAAGGTCTTTTCAGTGCCAAGGTTATTCTGCACAGAAGCTCTTGGATACCACTGGTATGTGTTTGCATTGCATAGAACAGCTTGTTAGAGCGCACTCCAGTCACTGAGCAGATTCAGACTTGTTCCTATTCTTTGGAAATCTGTGCAAAGCAGAGGTTTCCTTTGTCTCTGATTATGCAGCTGAAAGGAGGGAGTTTATACAGCTAGGGATGAATTCAATGGTCACGAAAACAAGGACACTGTAACATTGGATGGCCAGACAGAAGTGTGGGAAGGTGTCATCCACGAACAGGGGATCCTGACCTGCATGCTTCGTGTCACTGTGGGTTTGGGAAAATTGCAGGGTCAGCCGAAATAAGTTTGTAGTTCTCCATGGAGAGAAGGGGAAGCAGTTTCAGGTGCAATTCGTCTTTCCAGTCCCTTTGGAAAGCTTAGTAAGAGCAGAGCACGAAAGAGCATGGTGTAGAGCTGCAGAATAATGACCAAGCTGCAAAACTGGCTAGGAAGCCGATATAGATGGGCCCAGACTGAAGACTATTCAGATAATAGTAATTATACTGTTACTACACTGATCCAGACAGTGCTATTTAAGCAGCTGGCTTAAGGGGAGTAATAGGGATTTCAAGAAGCCACACAACTTGTTTAATTTTAACCATTTCTAATGATTGAAAAATGAACTAAAGCAAGCATAATAGTAATCCTGAATTTTCCTTTTGTCTTTCGTAGGTTGGCTCAGCAAATCCAAAGGACCTGCATGTGAGTAGACTTTAATTCTTTCTGTACTATGAGAAATGAGTGTGATGTTTTACTGGTTACCGTAAGTGTCTGTGAGCTAGGATTCCCGTTATACTTCTGTTGTGTTGGATAGGCTGAGATCCATCTCTATGCCCTATTTCCATTCTTGTCCCTTATGTTTTGGAAAGATGACTGCTCTGTTTGAGAGGGGGAGATCGTTTCTTATGTTTCACTGTGCTTGAAGGGATCCCTGTGCTTTCTAGAGCATTTAACTTCAAATGACTCAAGAAAAACAAATAGAAAAAATAATTCATTAAAACATAAAGATGCTGCTTGTGAGTGTCGAGAGGCTGCCAGAGACAATTGAGAGAACAGGGAGGTCAAACCCCCTTTTGTTTCTTTTAATCAAGAAAGGTGAACATCTCATCACAGAGCATGACTCTGAATATGTTCCATTGGATACTCCTGCTTTTCATTTCCTGTGCTCAGAAAAAGTAAAATTTTTCTTGTGTGCATGTTACGGATGTATATAACTTTGGGAGGAACCGGGAAGCATATTTGTCTTCTGTATCTGTTCTAAATATATAAAATTTTGTGTAAATATTTGTTGAAACCTGAAATTTAATCTCTTCAGTCTGAACTTTTCCCTCTTCTCAAAAAACAACAGAAAGAAATACAGGAACAGAGTCTGAGGGGAATGGATTCACAATGAAGTATTTAGAGGTGTGGGAGGGGAATTTTACCACCTACCAAATTTTGGTCTTCACAAAGTGGGAGGTGGGAGAAGAGCTGATGGAAACCTCACAAGACTGGTATCTCACACACCCAGTATTAAGGGGCTTTCAATTCTTAGAAGTGGTTACTAGCAGGAAAATTAGCTGCTTTAGGAAATAACTCGAGTTGTTTGGTCCAACTCAGCTTCTTGGGCTAGAATGAGATTGGAAACTGGTAGGAGCTTCATTGTAGAGGAGAGCAGGAGGAGTGCTGAATTGGCATGGTTTGTTCTTCTGGAGAAAGTATTTGTAAACTTCAGGCCAGGTTCTGACTCATCACCATCCTGGTGTCCCTTGATGATTGCTGCCTGCTAGGTTGAAGATACAGACTTGTCTGTCATTTTATGCAGCTTCCTTCTATCGCTGAGTCTTTCCTCTTAATCTACTTGAGCCAATCATTTGGAAAGAGTTTGGGTTTGTTCCTACTCTCACGGGAAAAGTCCTGACAGTGGGACAGAAGCAAGCTTGCTTGCTGTCACTTTGTGCCCTTTGTCAGTTGCTTTGCTGCTTCTGTCCCTTTTGGTTACTGCTGCAGCTGAGGCATTATGTTTTTAGGATAAATCTGAACATTTTTCACCTCTGCAACCCACATCTGCCACTGCTTCTCCACACCTATGTTTAACTGTAGTTTATAACTACAAGCAGTTATACAAGCAGTTTATACCGCCAGCTATTACTGACTGCAGTGGGGATGACAGAACAAGGAGTAAATCTGCTCTGGAACTGTGGTAAACTTCAGCCTGGACTGTTACTGCAAATACTGCTGAATTAACTGGTGTGTGGTATGTAAAGCTGTGCAGTAGATATGTCCTCAGCATGCTTACATGGGCGATAAGGGGGAAACAAGTGGTAGGGCCCTTGGGTAGCTGTAGACTGTCAAGTCTTCAGCTTTTGTAGCTGAATCTGTCAAGGTCCTGTGTTTAAATCTAGCTATCTGTCTAGATGAGGTTTGCTAAAACACTGCTGGTAACAAGCTGCTGATAGTCGAAGAGTGAAGTTAGGGCGCTGAAGGCACTTCAACTGCAAGCTCAAAAATGCTTGTACCTTCCTGAGAATAATTGGAACCCAGTGACAGGATTATGGCATTGTCTCAAAAGGTTGTATCTGCTTATCTGTGTGCACTGATTTGCATCTAAAAAACCATTTTTCTTTTAATGAACTGAAACCTCTGGGGAGTGTTCATCTTCCTCTGCAACCAGGAATTCCCCGGAGTCTCTACTGCTGCAGTGTTGTACTGGAGTTGGAGGACTGGCAATTGCTTGCTTCCAGATGTTGAAGGGATTTGAAGTAACCCCTTAGGTATGGGCTGCTTAGATAAGTTGCAGGATGTGCTAGGTGGATTGGGCTAGAGGGGGCTTGTTGCTAAACTGTTAAAAGAATAAAATGAGCTTTTTGGCCCAGTCTAGTACAGTGATCCTTTTATTATGGAAGGCGGAGCGGAACTTTTGGAGTTCCTGTGCTGAGAAGACTGATTGCAAGAGGTTGTGAGGATGATGCCTCACTGCTTCTGTACCCTGGCCTCGATGGTGCTGGACGGAGATGCCTCCGCTGTTCACTCTCTATAGAGCCAATGCCATGCATGCAAGGGTAAGTGCATTTATCAGCTTGGTGTGATAAAAAGCATTTCAGGTCAAGTAGAAGCCAAAGAATTGAACAGTAGGGTAACAAAAGAGCATCTTTAAATCCTGCGGTCTCAGCTTTTTTATGTCTAGCCAGTCGCCTTAATTCAGTGAGTAAAATCTCACTTGTTCAAGAGCAGAAAGAAACATTGCTGCTGCTTTTGAGATACATCTTTTACTTTGTCAGTAAAGGGAGAAGCATGTGTGATTTGGAAAATGTTGCTTTGCTGTAGAGTGAAATAAGCACCTCTGGTGGATGTTGACTTTGAGTTTTCAACTCACAGACAGGGAAGAAACATGGTAGGCCTGACACATGCAGTCATAACTAGAAAGCCAGAGGCTGCTGCTGCTTTTCTGTCTTGAAGGAACACTTTCTGTGTCCTGAGAAAAAGACCAAGGTGGTGTGTAACAAGTTTTGTGTCAGTCATACCCCCAGGCACCCATAAAACTATCCATCAAAAAGAGAATAGAACTCTTTTGTGATCTTACCAATCTTGTTTAGGCAACTTTGCATTTTTTTCTGCTTCCTTTTCAGCAGAGATGTCAGCTGCTGAGACAACTGATTAAATTTTTCTGATTTAGATAAAACTGTAATAGTTTGAAGGAAACAGAGCTTTCTGGAGACCCTTCAGGCATATAGAGAAGGATGAGAAGCAAATGGAGATTTGTAGGAAGGTGGTAGAATAGATTGAAGGTGAACAAGGATCAGGGGAAAGCAAGATTCAAGGAAGGAGAGGGGTGGGACAGAGGAGTGCAGCAAAACAGGAAGGTGAAGGTTTCCACAGGTGGAGTTGTGAAAAATATCCTGGTTGTTTAAAAAGCCAATTAGTGGCTTGGTGGTTAAGTAGTGTAAATCCTGACAGAAGGTAGTGTTTTAGTTATGCAAGCAGATTAGAATGGTTCAGAATAGTATGGCATCGGGAGGGAGGACTCTAGTACAAATATTTATGTATATGTGTGTTTATTTTTTTTAATGGTTAGGTAAGAGTGTTGTAATGGAGGAGGATGCAGGATATACCTTTACAACATCAGGCTTTTGAGGCTTTTCTGTAGGTAACAGGACTGACTAATGAGACACTGACAGATTTTAATAACTTAAGGGTTACAAAGTGTGTGTGCCCTCCAGGGACTGAAGCCTCAAGGCAGGAGCAGAGCAGGGTGAAGATGCCAGTTACTGGAGCACTGGGTTCACCTGCCTACAAGTGCTCTAACATTATGGCTAAGGATCGTGTGGGGAAGAGAGCCTGCGAAAGACTATAGCAGCAGTGTGTAAAACAAGATAAAGGGAGGGATTTCAAGTGGAAGTTGATGCCATATTTAGATAAATATCTATGACTTTCTCAAAGTTCTGCTTTTCTTAGTTTTTGTTCAGCTTTATAGTTAAAAGCTGCTTTGCTTTTCTCCCCCATCCTGCATTTGTTTGGCTGCTACACCCACTGTAGAGGAGCCCTTCCTGTCAACAAGATAAACCTATTAAAGCTGCTAGACCCTGGATCCTTGTCAGCACCAAAGTATCACTGCTGATGGTGATGCTTTCCCTGTGGGGTCTGTGTGTCACCATGTGTGTGAAATTAAGCTATATCAGAGTGGGCTAGGGACTTCTGGTGCTGCCTCTGTTCCGGACCACCAGCATCCTGGAGAGTTATCTCCAGGAGACTTATCTGATGCTACAGAGGCCTTTAGGAATGTGCCTCTGGTGTGCCATACAAAACCTATAGCTATTGATTTATCCCTGGCTATGAGGGAGAAGTGTGGGTTTTTACTGTTCCCTCTGGCCCATTCCCCTCCTACCTTCAGAGCAGCTAACTTTGAAACTCAGAGTCCTGGGGGTGCAGCTGCCGTGTAACCAGTCTCCAGTAGTTTTAGGCCTGCGAATGTGCTTCTTGAAAAGGACCAGTACTGTCAGAGTTGCGCTCTGCCTACTGACAGCATTATGCTTCAGCACATCTTTCCTTCTCTTTAGCACAGGCAAAGGACCATAACTGTAATGCTCTGTATTATCCTAAAGCTAGTACTTCTTCCATTCTGTCACTGGTTTTGCTTTCCCTAACAAAAGTAACCTTTGAATGCTCATGGAGAACAACATTCAGGTTTCATTGTAAACACTTTTGTGGGTGTAATTGATTTAAATTATAAGATTCTAGGAAAAGATAAAGGCTTTATCGTTTCAGTGTTTAGGTTCAACTGTCACTTTTTTCTCAACTGAGGAAATTACTCATTTTTGATATGTAAACTGAAAAATCTGAACATAGTCACAAGCTGTGATGAGTTCTCCTTAGAGTGTAAGTCTTAGTAAAATCTGTGAAGATGACAAGTTTGTTTTTCCAATTGTATTCCTTCAGTCCTCCACTTCTTTGTCTTTCGTAACAAGCTAGTCTTGTTGCAAACGTTAGTGTCAGTAGCCCAAAGCAGAAATTAGTCTTGCTGTGACATAGGAATGTGACATCCTTGAGCTAGCATAATTTTAACCTTCAGGCCTTCCCATTTTGAATCTTTTATTTAGATTTACTTCTCAAATATTTAAATCTTATTTTTAAATTCACAGTCATGCTTTGATGGTGGCTGTTTCCTCTATTGAATTTAGTAGGCTGTACTCCACTTCTGGAATAGTTGGGGGAGAGGTACAGTC